GCTATGAACCTACGGGCCTGATTTCTCTAGATGTGTATTAAAACAACATGCCTGCTGCTGATGGCTCTAAGGTCCTGACCTTTAATGAGGACTTATGACGTAAAGGCAACCTACCCAGGAGAGCGAGCAGGCAGAAGGCCAGAGGAACAAGGTCATTGGCTAATGAAGTGGTCAGCATTGAATTTCTGTCACTCGGCTAGTTAAGAGGAGGCTAAAAGGAAAGTTTTTAAAAAGTGGGGACATTTAAGAAACAAAGCAAAGGACTGGTGCTTATGCTCCAAAGATGAGTTGGCATTGTCAGGAGGAACAGAGCACAGCCTGCTGGAGCTATCGCTGTGGCTCTGTTTAAGTTGACCTGCTGAGCACCAGCCAGTCTGTACAAAGAGCATCTGCAAGAGGCAAACTGAAAACAATCCTCAAGTTAGAATTAAATAAGCAGGTACTGAACAACCAAGCTGCCCAGTGCCAATCTGCTCTAGAGATAACAGCTAGAGCAGAAGCCAAGCACATGGCAGAAAAGGAGATCAGGACCCATTCTCTGTGCTCAAGATGGCTTTGGCCTGGGCCACAGACAGTACCCAACTCTGAGGGAGGCAGGATGCCAGAAAGAGAAACTCTATTTGAAAGGACAAGTGCAGGCTTTGGCATGAAGTGATTGTTCCAATGTCAGCAATTATTGCTTTTCTACACACTCTTAAGGATCTTAGAGAGCGTGAGCTGTTTCTAAAATGGCCACTCCATTGTATAGTGTGGAGTACGGACTCGGGTTCATTTTATGTGTAGTTTCACTGTGGTATGGTTTATTGCGGCTGAGGCATTTTGAACTTTTGTACCAGTCACCCAGTCCACAAATGTGTGTGTGTCTGTGTGTGTGTCTCTCTCTCTCTCTCTCTCTGTCTGTCTCTCTCACTCTCACTCTGTGTGTGTGTGTGTGTGTGTGTGTGTGTGTGTGTGTGTGTGTGTGTATGTGTGTGTGTGTGTGTACAATATCTTTCTTTTTAAAGACAGGGTCTTGCTATGGTGCCCAAGCTGTCACTCAACTTGAGTTCCACCTGCCTCCATCTCCCAAATACTGAGATGATAGGTGTATACCACTATACCTGGCTTTAGAATTGTTCTTCACAGTGGACCCATCAAGATGTAGAACATAAATAATAGAATAGTACAAGAATATGATATGGGTGGGGCAACCAGGTCTTTCTGGGAAACATGGGAGAAGACAAGGGAATGACTTCCCTGTCTATCCCATTACTTGGTTCTCCAAAGAATGCCTTTAGCTAGAGAGGGCTGGGGATCCTTTCCCTGAGCATCCCCCCTTAGAAAGAGTGCAGCCCAGACAAGCTAGGCCTCACCTTTGCAGCAGCGAGCAGGGTCATTGACACCATTGTTTGTGCCTCCAGACTTCCCCTGGGCACTGGCATTCTACCAGCAACCACTGACAGCCAAGAAGCCCCAACGTATTCCTCTTGTTGAGCCCTTTCATCGTGTCCAGAACAGAATCCAACTCTTGAGCATCCCAAGGCACAAAAATGCCAAAGGTTTCATACCCGTTCTGGGCACTGTGAGAGATTATTTTAGCCCCTTCTTTAGCATCTCACTTCTAAAAGCAATGCACTATGCATGAACGGATGGAGCACTGAGCAGACATGGAGGACAGGTGCTCAGGAGTCAGTGGTGCCATGGTCTCTGTCATGCTCTGCGGCCTCTGACGTCCCAGGTCTCCAGACATTAGGATAGTGATTTGTATGCCCGCCCTTCTCTGCATCACAAACATGATAGGAAGGTGAGCTGAGGACCCTGAGCCATGAAAGCACTTCTGGTACACCAGTGGAAAGGATTATCAGGTCAGAGTGTCACAGCCTGGGAACAATGTTGGAGCATCACCATGGAGACATTTTGCCATCATGACCCAGCCAAGCCTCTTTGCAGGATCCAGTAGTCTGGGACATATGGACATTTAGAAACTACAGGCTAGCACAGTGATTCCTCAACTGTTACCCAAGGCTTTCTTCTCTCAACTATGGAGCTAGCTTGAAGATCTTTTTTCCTAGCTATAAAAATATTAATTACTACCTTGGAAATTATGAGCATTTATAAAAAGAAAATTAGAATCAGCCCAAATATCACCACATAGAAATAGCCCCTCCTCCTTTTGGAAACAGGATCTCATTATGTAGCCCTGGTTGGCCTAGAACTAACTACGTAGACTAAACTGACCTTAAACTCACAGATCCACCTGCTTCTGCCTCCCAGGTTCTGGGATTAAAGCCATGAGCCACCACACCCAACATACACATTAACCTGTACTTTATTTTACCAGGTATCTCTTAGGCATAAATATGTATGTATCATTTTATGGCCATGGTCTTTTCTTTTTCCTTGCTACCCACAACAGAATGCAGTATCACTTAATTATGAGCATACAACTTCATTCCCTTTCTTGCATTCCAGTGTCGGGTGGACCCTCATTTACTTCATCCTGTCTTGGAGGTCAGTATTAAAAACAACGATGCCTGATGGACATCTTTGTGCATAGTGAGTCTTCCCAGTTGACTCATTAGGATAGATTCCTGTAAGTTAGAACTGTTGAAAGCACTCTCTCTTTCAACCAGCGGTAGAAGGGAGAAATAACAGGAGCGAACAACAAAGCTGGTTAGCCTGTGACAACTCCGTTTACCCCTGGAGAGTGGAAAGTGAGAAGATGTGGTGTGCTGAGGTTAGCTCCTCCCAAGATACACTATGGGTTGATGTTTTGTTTTCTTCCTCTTCCCTTCTTCTTCCTGCCCTGCTGTTTGGAACCCTGTACACCACAGAGCCTTCTGCTGCCGAAGGAGGCCTTTTCCATCCCTGCCCTTGCCCTGGCCGGCACTGGGTGATTCCCACCTTCTGCTCTGTGGGTTTTCTTCCTGGTTGCTTTCTTCCACAAACACTGATGAACTCAAGGCACTAACAGGCGCCCAGGGGCAAGCAGAGGAGGGAGTTGAGGCTGGTGATTACCTCGCAATGTTTTAATTTGTCTTTGGATGAATTCTCCTAAGCTTTCATGAGAAAATCTCTCATCATTACATGCAGTCGTTTAATTTAAGAACAGTTGGAAGAGGGAGATGAGCTAAGATGACAGATGGAAGACGCAGATGCATGTCTTGGACCCGAAAGTGCTCTGAGGATTTGGTATCAAGGAGGAAGCACAGTTGGCCCCCACTGCCTCTGACCATGGATGTGGGAAATTGTCACGAAATTATTGAAGTATGGGGATAGATGCAGGTGACAAACAGATTTCATTATTTTCTTCTGCCTATAAAGCCATGATAAAGTCAACTAATGGGCCCTAAGTCCAATAAACACAAACTGCACAAAATAGGAAGCCAAACAAAGCAAAAAAATAAAATAGCTAAGGCTGTGGCTATGGAACCTCATCCATTTCCATTGGCACAAAGATCACTTTTTAAATTCCAGGCTTCCTCTGGCTTCCTTCAGACAGATTTTCGGGACATCCTAATTTGGCGTTTCTGTAATTCACCATCTATTATTATTTTAGGACCACAGTTATTATTTTAATTATAATTTAAAGCTCCCTAATATACCCAGAGGTCACTGGGCACCTAAAAGGAATAAATAAAAACAACTTTCCGTTTTTAAAAGCGCTGTGTTTATTTGGAAGTCCCAAGAGCCATTCAACCAAGACATCATAAAACCTTCAAATAAACTGAAGCGGAAACAAAATAAAATGTCCGTCCTTAGTCTCCTTAGAAGGCAAGCCTGGAGAAGTCCAGCAAACTGAATGCTGGCATGGGAACTCCAGCACCGGCCCCTTAGTGAGTCCAGAGCTGAAGTGCATCACTGGATGGCCATACTCTGTATTGTGGTCAGCATAAGACCTTCCCTAAGTTTAAAACCTCTGAGCACGGGTAGGATATTTTAGTCAACAAAAGGTTAAAGTAGCAACAAACTCGATGCAGAAGAAAGGGAAAGAAAGCTGGGCATGCTGACACATGCTTTTAAAACCCAGTGTTCAGAAGGCTAAGGCAAGAGGGTTCCAAACTCGGGCCTACCCTGGGCTACGAGGTAAGTTCATGGTCGTCTTGGGCTGCATATAAAACCTTGTCTCACAAAGAGAAAAGGGAAAACAAGAGTGCATGGTCAGGAAGATTGCTCAGCTGGTGAATGTTTGCTTTGTGAGTGACCTGAATTCAATCCCAGAACCCATGTGAGAAAACCAAGGCATGGCAGAGTGTACTTGCATTCCCAGCATTGGGGAGGTAGAGGCAGGCTGATTCATAGGACTCACTGGCCAACCAGCCTAGCCTACTTGGTGAGTTCCACGCTAGTAAGAAATGCTATGTTTAAAACAGTGATAATAAAAAGGAGAAAATGAGGGAGCAATGGAAAGACAGAGGGAGGGAGGGAGGAAGGGAGGGGGGAGAGAAAGACAGGCAGACGGACAGACGGACAGACAGAGAAGGGAAGAAGGGAAGGGAAGGTACAAGAGGTGAAGGGAGGATCCCTAGGCTGGCAAATTTATTGCATGGAATGAACAAAGACTCTAAATGAGTGTTGTGGGCCTGGTATAAGGTAGTCAAGAGAGCTGGAGACTGTGGGGAACTTCACAGCACAATCAGCAACAGTTGCTCAACTTCAGCTGATGCTTCCTAAGCCAGCATCACCAGGTTCCCAGGTTTTCTGAGGAAAATATAGAAATACTGATATTTTCTCAGCATGCACGGCCCCCACGCAGAGTGTTGGCAATCAATATGGCACAAATGCCTGAGCTTAGAGCTGTATTTTGTTTGGAATGGACCAAATAAAAACCTGCATTCTACATTCAGTTGACAGGCTGGATGTCTGTGCCTCTGAGAAAGAGAAAGAGAAAGAGAAAGAGAAAGAGAAAGAGAAAGAGAA